TTTATATGGAATAAGAAATGTAAGTTGATGAGAAATAGTATTTCATTTTAATTTATATTTACATTATCTATTACATTTAGAAAAACTCTATATAAAAGTGTACAACTCATTTTTTGAATGAAATCTTGCTTAAAATATTCATTTTTTTTGGTATTAAGTCATTTTCTATCAACAGGTTCATCCTATGTTTCGAGGATACCATCAGCATGACACCCAAGAATTTTTACGTTGCTTTATGGACCAGCTGCATGAAGAATTGAAAGAAGCTTTGCCTGCAGCAAGGGACTTATCTTCTGTACAACAAGACCACGCGGATAAAATTGATGAACATGAAAGTATGTAGATCAAGATTATTTTTTCATTTAATTAATCATTTCTTTAATGTATCAACATGCTCATAATAGTTTTGAACCATTTGATTTTTTCATGCTTTTTTTATTATTGCAGTCATTTCTGACCGATCAAGTCCATGTCCCTCTCTGACACCTAGTCAATCCGAAGGTGAATATGAAACATGCGACAGTGGAGTCAGTGAAAGATCTTCTCTTTCGGAAGAAAGCGGACAAATAGGACATCATTCAAGACAAACATCCAGATCAAGAAGTCCAAGTCCTACAATCATTCCGACTATTCAACCTGATAGAGAAAGGCTAAGGTCTAAGTTGACGGTTGTTAATAGGACTCCTCCGGCTAATGGTATGTAAATACATATTTATTTATAATATTAAGATCCAGGTTGAGTTTGTTTATTTTAGTCAATGCTATTTATTGTAAATGAATTAAAATGTCCGAAATATAAATTAGGTGATTTATAGAAAAATAAAAAAAAACTTCTAAATCTATTCTAATCTGCTATAGTCCGCATTTTAACTGCAAATTATTTAAAATTTCAATATCCAAGTATATATAACAATTTTTACTAGATTTTAGTAAATTTGATCTAGTTTTGGCTGATGTAAACAAGTTATAATGTCCGGAATGAAAATTTTAAATTATTTGAAGAAAAGTAAAAAATGTCCGAAATCCATGAAATGCACTGTATCAAAATACTAAAGTCTGCATTTCAACTACGAATTATTCAAAATTTTAATATCCAAGTGTATAAAACAATTTTTGCTAGATTTTAGTAAATTTTATCTAGTGTTTTCTGATGTAAATAAGTTATAATGTCCGGAATGAAAATGTTAAATTATTTGAAGAAATGTATAAAAATGTCCAAAATCCATGATGCACTGTATCAAAATACTAAAGTCCGCATTCCAACTACGAATTATTCAAAATTTTATTATCCAAGTGTATAAAACAGTTTCTACCAAATTTTAGTGAATTTTATATAGTTTTCACTAATGTAAATAAATTATAATATCCGGAATAAAAATTTTAAGTTGTTTTGACGAAAAGTAAAACAATAACCTAAATTTACATATTGTGAATTCAATTATCAAAAAACTAATATTAACAATGAAAAACTAAAGTAATTGAATCCAAACAAAAACAACCTGTCAACTATTTTATTATCATACGTAAGCCGATTTTAAAATTAGTAAAATTCAAATGGTAAAAATACCCGCACCAATCTTTGAAACGGGTATTTTTACCCGTCCCGCTTACCTATAGCGTATTAAATACATTTAAAATTAAAAAAAACGTTGACTAAAGTGCACAGTGGAAAAACATATTTTTATATATTTTATTTCTACATTTCAGTAAATACAGAATACCTAAAACCACAATTCAGATCCATAATTTCAGAAGTATTTGATGGCAAATTGTTATCCTCCGTGCAATGTCTTACATGTGATAGGGTAAGTACTATAAAAAATACATATATGAATACTTATAATTACCAAGTAATTTTTTGCTTTTAGGTGTCTACAAAGGTCGAAACGTTTCAAGATCTTTCTTTACCAATACCTAGTCGAGATCATTTAAATGTGCTGCATCAGAACCAGAATACATCCACTGTGACATCCGAGTATGAACCACAAGGCAATCAGGAAGGTTGGGTAAGTCTCAACCATGTTAGTTGTAATATTAAATTTGTTGGTGTAATATTATGTGTAATGTTTTTTTTTTTCCTTAGATTTGGTGGATATGGGGCTGGTTTCGATCATGGTTCTGGGGGCCTGCTGTTACATTGCATGATTGTTTAGCGGCCTTTTTCTCAGCTGATGAGTTGAAAGGAGATAATATGTATAGGTAAGAACGCATTTTTACTATTTCTTAAAAAAATGGTTAGATAATTAAATTTAAATACATTTTTTTTTAATTTTTAGTTGTGAAAAGTGCAATAAACTCCGAAACGGTGTTAAATATTCTAAAGTTATGGCTTTACCAGAGATGCTATGCATTCATTTGAAACGTTTCCGGCACGAACTGATGTATAGTTCAAAAATATCGAGTCCTGTTAATTTTCCACTCACTGGACTTGATATGAAACCATATCTACATAAAGGTATGTAGATAAATTTAGGCTTCATTTAAACTATCAAACAATAATTCAGTAAAATTCCTTGGTTATTCATTATTGTAAACATCTGATCCTTTTTTCCCCATAGGCAGAGAAAAATGTGACACCCAGGGGGCAAAAAGTCCTCTATTTTATCTTCAATTTTAAAGAGATTTCACAGCTAAATTTGTCAAAAAGATAATAGATTCAACGCCCAATAATACACCTTATAAAACAATTAAATAGTGTTTACTAAAAAATTATTTATTTATTTATTTATTTATTCAACGCCCAAGGGTATAATACAGTATAATTACATTTTTAAGGGTACAAATTATAAACTAAAGATAATATGTGAGAAAATCAGAGTATTAAGAGTTCATAGATATAGCTTTGTATATATATACATAACACTTAATATAAACTACAAATATATAACACTAAATAAAAACTAATAATATTGAACATTTAATAATCTCTAAATCACTACTTAAAACAGTTGTTTAAGGATAATAATTTTTCTGGCTTGATTTTTTATATTCGTCACAGAAAGACCAAAGATATCAATCTCAGAAGCAAATTCATTTATTATTTTTTAATATATTGAACTATCGTAAACTAAATAACAGTGCTCAAAACCTAAAAGCTAAAATCGAAAAAAATATATTTGTTAAAAAAATTACTATGTTGCCTTTCATCTCGCGATTGCAATGTCATCCGATTTAAAGTGACTGGCGACTGGCTGGTTACACATATTTTGCCCTCTACTTTAAAATAGTATCGTTAAAAATCTTGATACTTTACTTTTTTTATAACTTCCGTGGGGTAAGTTATAATAATGGACCGAAAACCGAAAATGAAAATTTTTGCATATCTTCACGTTTCAAAGCTTTCTGAGTATTTTGGCATATCTCAGAAAAAATGGATGAGTGTGTGCGGATACAATTTTTCATCCACGTTTTTTAGGGCGCACGGATCAACCTATTTGAATTGTTTAAAAAACATTCGATTCCTATTGATAGGGAGATGTGCTGATTAGTTTCTAACAAAGGCAGGTCCAGCCTTTACGGAGATACGGAGCAAAGAGTGCAGTAAATAGAAATCGAGTTTTTGAGAGAACGGAGTATCTGATTTGAATGATCTAAAAAACATGTGATGATTAGTTTTTAGCAAAGGCAGGTTCAGCCGTTTCGGAGATACCGAGCTAAAAATGCAAAAAATAGCAGTTTTTGAGAGAACTATGCATTTGATTTGAAAGACTCAAAAAGCTTTCTGCTTGTGTTGTCAAAACAATTGCTTTTGAAAAAAAAATCAATTTATTTTTTCAAATAATTTTTTTTGGTATATCGAAAATAATTCACATTTTAATTTTAATTCTGGCTAAAGTTCTAAAGCTCACTTATATACTTCAAATAATTTTAATTTTTTTTTAAATATTAGATAATGTTATAGTAATTATATAATAATAATCTATTAAAAATCATTTGCACCAGAACTATTTCTGAATTTTTTAAGCCTACTGCTTTTGCTTATGTTTCATTGTCTGATACTGCACATGTAACTCTAAAATCTACCATATATATATATATATATATATAATTTTCATTTCATTTTCCAGATTGTGTTAGTGAAATCTGCACCTACGACCTGTCCGCCGTCATCTGTCACCACGGAACCGCCGGAGGAGGCCACTACACCAGCATGGCCAAGCATAGCGCCTCTGGTGTCTGGTTCGAGTTCGACGATCAGTTCGTAACGCAAGTTTCATCAGAGAATGTTGCCAGATGCGAAGCCTACGTACTGTTTTACAGGAAGTCGCCGAGTCCCCGGATGGCCAATTTGAGGAAAATGGCAGCGGAATTGGTTGATGTCGAGAGGGCGACGGATATGTCTTTCTATGTGTCTAAGCAATGGATTAATAAGTAAGTGATAATTGAATTAAGTGACTAGTGGTGCATGGCATCGTGCCTTAAGACAAATTGCTGGTACTTCTCGTACCGAAAACTATATTATTAAAAAAAAACTTTGACAAAATTAGATTTTTGAGAAATTTTGAAATTTTTGAAAAGAAGATTCTTTTTAAAAAAAATAGATTCTTTTATATCTATTTTTTTTGGAAAATTTTATATATATTTTTTTTTTGAATAATTTTTCAAGCAATCGCGCTGCATAGCTGATTTGGAGTCTCGCGTAGTCGTCTAACGTATAAACATTGGTACGGAACCCATATACATGTACACGAAATGTGTGCTTAATGTTATAATTTTTATAAAATATCTTATAATACGGTGTACATATGTCTAATGTTCATTTTGAACGCCAAATGGCATTAATTTTTAACTTCCCGTAGGGTAAGTTATTGTAATGGGCCGAAAATCGGAATTGAAAATTTTTACATTTCTCGACGTTTTGAAGGTTTCTGAACATTTTGGCATACTTCAGAAAAAATGGATGTGTGTGTGTGTGTGTATGTATGTATGAATACAATTTTTCGCCCACGTTTTCGGGCGTACGAATCAACCGATTTGAATGGTTTAAAAAACATTCGATTCCTATTGATAAGGAGATGTGCTGATTAGTTTTTCGCAAAGGCAGGACCAGCAGTTACGGAGATAAGGAGCAAAGAGTGCAGAAAATAAAAATCGAGTTTTTGAGAGAACGGAGCATCCGACTTGAATGATCTAAAAAACATTCAATTAGTAATGATTGGGAGAAGGGGTTATTAGTTTTTCGCAAAGGCAGGCCCAGCCATTTCGGAGATACAGAGCTAAATGTACAAAAAATGGCAGTTTTTGAGAGAACTAAGCGTCCAATTCAATTGATTCAAAGAACTTTCTGCTTGTCTTAACAAAATAATTGATTTTGAAAAAAAAATTGTTTCATTTTTTTTTTTTTAATTTTTTGTATATCGAAAATAATTCAGATTTTATTTTTATTTCTGACTATAGTTCTAATATACTTTAAACAAATAATTTCAACTCTGCAATTCAGTTTATATAATTCTTATAAATATTAGACATTATTACAATATTTATAATAATCTATTTGAAAACATTCAATATTCTTCGAACATTTCGTTACGGTACGGGAAGTTCCAGCAATTTGCCTTAAGGCACGATGCCACCCACCCCACTAGTTACTTTTTTTATTGGTACTCCGGAGACGCTGGCCTGCCTTTACAAAAATTTGACCAGGTATTCGTTTCGTCATTACAAGTATAATGTTTTTTGAATTATTTAAATCGGACACTCCGTTACCTCAAAAACTCGATTTTTATTTTCTGCACTCTTTGCTTCGTAACTCCAAAACGGCTAGACTTGCCTTTGCCAAAAATTAATTTGCACGTCTCCTTATCAATAGGAATAGTTCAGTTCAGTTTTTGAATCATTCAAATCAGTTGCTCCCAAAAACGTCGACGAAAAATTGTATCCGCACATACGCACACACAGATATACATCCATCAATTTTTTCTGAGGTATGCCAAAATGTTCAGAAATCTATGAAATGTAAAGATGTACAAAATTTTTCATTTTCCTTTTTTGGGCGATTACAATAACTTAGCCAACGGGAAGTTAATAAAATAAATATGATCTATTATTTTATTATCAGGTTAAATGTAAAATAATCTCTTTTCAGATTTAATACATGTGCAGAGCCTGGTCCTATCGATAATTGGTCACTGTTGTGCCAGCATGGTTGTGTATCACCAGAAAAAGTCAGCTATGTACACAAATTAGCAGTTCCTCTTTCGCAGCCACTCTGGGACTTTTTGTACAAGAAGTAAGTCAATCACACTTTATAAATTTACTTTTGTTTATATTTATATTTATTATAATTAAGACTATAGTTAGAGTGAAATAATTAAATTTAAAACTAAAACTAAATAATAAATTTCAGCTTTGGCGGCGGGCCCGTTTGCAATCAGTTATTTGAATGCGAGACTTGTAAAGAATATTTAGAATCGTTGATAAAAAGACAATATTATGAATTGGATACGTTCATGAGCCTTCATCATGAATTTCAGGTATACAATTTTCAAACTTTTTCAAAAATAATTTTAAAAGTATAGTTTGAGGGGGCAATTCTGCCGTAACAGAGCTCATAGCAAAGTGTTGTCATGGCAACGTTCTCTTATGCTTGTTCTTGGTAGTGAAAATTATGAAAATGTTTATCTATTTGTTGTGCGATCAAGCGCATTTTACATATAAACAAGCAAGGAACAATCTTATGATAACAGAATTCTAGATGGTGCAGTTATCATGAAATTCTTCCCTGCTTGTTTATATGTGAAATACGCGTGATCGCATGGCAAATAAATAGACATTTTCATAATTTTCAATATCAAAAACAAGCATAATGACCACGCTATTTTATGAGCTCTGTTACGGCAAAACTGCCCCACCAATTTAGGGTCTGATAAAGTTTGTATAAATTAATTTTATACTTTATCATTATTTTTTTTACTTAGGTGAGCGAAAGTCCATCAACAATCTACGCCCTTTCGATGGCCTGGTTCCGCAAATGGCAAACATTTGTTCGTGCTGCTGGATTCTGCGAAATTCCTGGTCCCATAGACAACCAAGTCATATGTAATTCAAATAATACTGTCAAGTCAGGATCGGACTATGCCCAATTGAATCATGCATTATGGAAATTCTTATTCGATATCTACGGCGGCGGCCCTGAGGTTATTCTTAGGGCTTATATTGACTCACCAGTAACAAGTAAGTGTAATAGATATTATTAGATAATTGCCATTAATGATAAGATTCTGATTAAATTCCGTACTCTCACAAAATCAATTACCATTTTTGGGCACATAACACTCACACAGAGTAAAGCGGATTTGTTTCAAATTTACTCCCAGACTATAACTTACCCTGCGGGTAGATAATTCTAATTTTCATAAACAAAATTACACCAATGCTATAGCTCATTTTCTACTATCAGGTTCAACTACTTTACAATTGGATGAAGACAACGACACCACAAGTACCTCAGATGTCTCCATCAACTTACCCCAGACCCTGAAAGAAAGAGTGAATGCCAGAATAAACGCTCAAGGAAACCTTCTCAAAACACAAAGTTTACAAAACATTCCAAGAGTAACAGACTCAATCCCCGATTTCATTGGAGACTATTCAAACTGCTGCCTAAAATTATCCCCCAACAACACAGCGCAGAGTTCCTACAGTGCATCAGACTTCCACAAACACATGGACGGTGAACAGATGATGAACGGAGATGTGAGCTCCAACATTCCTTTACTGACTTCACAAATGGGGGCGGCAAGACTTTCCGACCAGTGTCTCCAATCAGCAAACGAGTGCCTTTGCAACAAAAAACAGAAAAATAACAAAGCCAAAAATAATATATCAAACGAATCAGGAGATCCAATGACGAACCATTAACGATTGCAAATTGTAAATATGTATAGTTAAATTAAAATTTTACCAAAGTTATAGAGAATCTATTCACATCTGTGTCAATTAGCAATGAGGTCTACGATTGTTTTATTCATTTTAATTTTGGTTCAGGAAACGATTATATATTTATTTATATGTCAAAATATCTAGCAATAATTTTTTTTAAGTGGTTATTATGAAAAATAAAAGGTTTTGTCTATTATAAACCATGCTATATATTACCAAATACATAATATATATACAAACATTTTAATCTTTAACATATTATATAATTTAAGGAGTAATTCTTTTCGGATCACGTGGAAACATTGAAGTCTTGCGAATGTTGTCGAGACCCAAGTACAGCATAACGACACGCTCCATGCCAATACCGCCGCCGGCATGTGGGGGGCACCCGTAACGGAACGAATCAATGTAAGCAGCAATTTTACTAATATCAATTCCATGATGTTTGGCTCGTTCAGTCAAAAATTCAGGATCGTGTATTCTTTGAGCACCAGATAAAATTTCTTCACCCCTCATAAACATGTCGTATGAATTGGATGCTTTGGGGTTCTTAGGATCAGGCATTGTATAAAATGGCCTCACAGCCAACGGATATTTATCCAGAATGTAAAAATCGGTGTTGTACATGTTTCTAACTAGTTTTCCAAGTAATTTTTCATCGGGAGTTGATAAATCATCTTCATCACCAATAGTGACACCGGCATCACGTAACATTTTCAATGCTTGAGGAAATTGTAAAATTAAAGGTGGATCTAAAAATGTGAAAGGCTCCACAGCGAATTGTTGGCCAACAGCTGCTATTTCAGAAGCATAGTTATCACGCAAGCCTCTAAACATCTTTGTGAAAGTATCACCAATCGTATTCAATACTTCGTGATAATGATACTTAAATGCCATTTCCAAGTCAAGACCGACAAATTCAGTTAAATGTCTGTGCGTATTGGAGTCTTCAGCTCTGAAAACAGCACCGACTGTAAATACTTTATCAAAGTCTGCTGCTATCGCCATTTGTTTGTACAACTGTGGACTTTGTGCCAAGTAAGCTGAGCCTTTGAAATAACTAACTGTGAAAACATTAGCACCTCCCTCACTAGCTGCTGATATGATTTTTGGGGTGTGAATCTCAACAAAACCTTTCTCGGTTAAAATATCTCTGAACAATTTGCAAACGCCGGCTTCTAATCTGAATATAGCTTGATTTGCAGGCGTACGCAAATCCAAAATTCTATTATCTAATCTAGTGTCTTGGTTAACTCTAATATTCAAAGCATCTTCAGACAAATTCTTTTCTGGGCGGCTTGCATCATCGATTTGCAAAGGTAACTGAGGTTTGGATTGAGACACAACGAAGACTTGGTTGACTGATAACTCAACAAGTTGTTGTGTGCAACTTTCTATGTTCTGAGCAACTTTGACAACTTTAGCTTCAATATCTACAATGGATTCTTTAGGGATGTTGCCGACAAATTTAACCATTTGTTTTGATATTGCTTCGTTAACAGCAATTATACATTGAACACTGTACGATTGTTGTCTTAAGACTAGGAAACACTGTTTGCCTTTGGAACGTGACGTATGGACACGCCCACGAACCCAGACAACTTTCCCTTCTAATGAAGGCTCTAAGATTGACACATCAGTAAATACTCTATCAACATTTTCTCCAGTCGATTGAATCATTTTCATAGCACCATATTTGTTCACTGAGTAGTCTTCGGTTTCTGCAGGTTCTTCTGTAGCATTTGCTGCTTTATGCTCAGCTTTTTTATCTGCTTTTGCAGCATCCTTAGCTAATTTTTTGGCTGCTTTTTTAGATTGTGCTGCTGAAGCATCCCCTTCCATATTTGTTAAAATTTTTGGTTATAAATGCAATTTTATAAAAACAGTATTGAATTTAAATCTGATCTGAAGATCACCTTGACATATGTTAATAAGCTTATTGGCGGTATCTGAAAATTCAAATATTGTTAAATATTTTTAATCAAATAGACACTGACATATTTTAGTTTTTACTACCGCCACGCAAATAATTGCATTATTTCAATTATACGTGGTGAGAGATTAATTAGAAATATGTGTCTTATATTCACCTTTTAGATAAATTTATACATAAAAATGCCATTTATATTGAGAAACCCGATAACACAAACACATACAACGAAAGCACATGGAGCCGGGGCGAAGCCCTCACTTTGGTTAATTTTACCAATGTAGTGGGACGGCTGGAAGACATTTTACTCATTTTAAACTACATTGTTGTTTTCAACCAAAGACACATTGTACAAAATAATAAATAATATTAGAATTTCTAGATATGGTGATTGATGACTAAAATAACTAGTGGTTATGGCATCGTGCCTTAAGGCAAGTTGCTGGAACTTCCCGTACCGTAACGAAATGTTCGAAGAATATTAAATTTTTTCAAATAGATTATTATAAATATAGTTACTGTGTTTGTAGTTAACTACTTCATTGGAAAAAAGGGGTTCACAAAATGTTGATCCAAGGACGGAAAAACATATATAAATATTGCTATAAATACTTAACTATTTGTTGTATACGTTTTGATACTGTATGTGTGTCATCATTCAGTGAGTTAAACAAATTCTAAAATATATTTTACAAAGTTTAAAAAATTACAAGATTACAAAATCAATACATACGAAAACAGGAAAAAAAACACAAATTTTAAGGAAATTGTTTAATGAAAAAACAGACCAACAAAATAAAATAATAAACTAAAAGTTGCATTTGGCAATAAAATTAATGCCAACAATTAATATAACTATCATGTACTGAATTACGTTTATATACACAAAGAAGATTCAAAAAGATAAAAACAGATTCAACAAATTTTCTAAGATCATTTCTTCTTGCAAAAAATACGATTATTTCTAAATAAGTCACTCGTTGCTCTTATTTAAAAGCTTCTGCGAAAGAAATTATCCACCAGACCCCTCACTATTAGTGTGGCCGAGTTTATTTTTGTATATTTAAACATATTTCAATGAATCTGTGTTAGATTTAATAATGAATCAATATTTATAGCTAATTGATTGTTATTAACAACAACAAAAATACTAAATTACTTTTAATTTAATTTTATCATTTAAAAATGTCGATGTCCTTTATTTCGTATCTGGCACGAAAATGGCCGCCGTGACTATTTGCTCATTAAGTACCTGTAGTGACGTCATTGTTACATATTTTTAAAACCTATTAATATGGTGTAGAGACATTTGGTGTTGTTTAGTTATTTTTATATTTAGTTATTTATATTTATCTGTTTTAAGATATTTTATAGTTTAGTAGAATCACTAATTCGACAATTAATTTGTCATTAATGTATAAGAAATGTCGAAAAACAAAATTGTCGTTTCGAAACATGACAGTCCATCAGTAGTGTCAGTTAAGAGCAAGGTAATAATTGTAAATTATTGAGAATATATAGAATATTGATGTAAAGTTTTGATTTGATGCCAATTTGGATTGTTTTGGCTTTATTTGTAATAATGCATATGATATTAATACTTTCTATTCGTAGTGACAGTTCTAAGAAGTTATCTGTATATTCACAGAATTATCTGACTAATTTGTTGTACTTATGTATAATTATATATCAGGCTGTAGATTTGATAAGAATCATTATTAAAATGATATGCTGGAAATAATACATCAGGAATTTGTATATAATTATATTTTTTAATGAATGTAGGGTAAGGTTGGTTAATATGTTAGGCCTCGGCTATATTTTGTTTCATATTCATAATTTATTTAATCAGGTATGGTTAAATCGAACTATTTATTCGTGTAAGCAAAGGTTTGCAATTGGCATACTTCGTGGAGTAGTAATAATTAAAATGCAAGCTTTCATTTTAAAGTTTCTATTAAAATTTTTGACTCGGTTGTAAATCCTTTATGGCAACAATATAATTCTGACATTTTTTCCTTACTAATGTTTACTTATATTACTTATTTTGCAACCACTTAGGTATATTTAAAAAGTAAAATTTGTTTAGGTTATGTCAGTAGTTTTAATTCCAAGCTTCAAAAAGCTTGTAGCTGAATGCCTTGCAAAATTCTTTAATCATATTAGTTTAATAAAGAGCATTTTATGGATTTTTTTTCGATAACTATGAAGAAATAATGTATAAATATGATACTGCAAAGTTTTTTCACAAAGTGGGTGTAACCTCCAATGACAGCATCTTCGTTAACAGATTGTCCATCTTGATTCTTAGCTTGATAATACTATAAGTACATTCGTTACATTTTGAGATTACTGTTTTTTAGGTGTTACTTTAATAATTATGTACGACTTGGTAATAATTTAGTAATAACTAAAAAAAGATTAAACACTTTAATGGTACTTTCACTTTGAATTTAAACACTAAAAGTGAATTACTATTCACCAATCTTTGTTTGATAGAAATAAATTGCATTCATAAGCACTGAATATACATATTTTTTTCATAATTTCTTATACCAGACACCCTTGCCTGAAAATATATATTATGTTAATAAACTTATAATTTTTTTTTATAGTTTGATGCAGAGTTTAGAAGGTTCTGTGTACCCCGAGCAGAAACAGAGCGATTTGAAGAATTCAAATCACTTCTGGAGAAACTACACTGCCTGTCGCATACACCATTCCTGATATCCTATGTAGATCCAAGGGACAGCGATTTGTTACCGATTAACAATGATGACAACTTGGGCAGGGCCATTGTTACTTCCAAACCCATGTTAAGAGTTATAATCCAAAGAAAAGGTGAGAAAGGAAGATTACAATGATACAGACTTCAATTATAATATATTTACAGTTACTTTGTTTGTATGGAATTTAACATAAAATTTAAAGCAAAGCTAATAGATGTGTATATAAAAAGCGAAAAATACAAAGCTAAAACTATTTAATTTAGGAAAAAATGACTATTTAGTTACTACCTAAAACCTAACCTAAAGAATAATTGATAAGTTTTGATGTAAATCTGAATA